ATATATATATATATATATATATATATATATATATATATATATATATATATATATATATATATATATATATATACATAAAAAATCTTCTTTTAAAACACCCAATAAGCTAGACCTTAGATGTTTAGCATGAAACATCTTCTAATAGGTGTCAACCAAGTTTGTTCAAATAAAAGCCCTGGGGTTTAAACTGGCCCCGCTCCGGGGGCCTATATACAGGTGAGCGACTTTGGGCCATCATGGCCCTCTTGTTTCATTTGAAATAAACAAACTACATCTATTTGTTACGATTAATTTAATGGCTGATCAAGTTCAAGGTCAATTCAATGCAGTCTAAATGTCAACAAGCGAAGCGTATACACCATCTCAGTATGGGCGGAGCGTTGCATTGTTTATCCGATATTATTGGATAATACACATCACGCGTATACTTAACTTCATTTGCATACGCTAAAACAGTATGGGAAATAGAGTTTTTCACACGTTTATTGTTGTGTTTTGATTGCTGACACTTGTGACATAACGAGGTGGCGTTCTCTAAAAACACAATTACTTGACAGGTAAAAGTGGTCGTTTAATGAAAAGATTGATGTAAATTAGGTGACTAATTAGTGGTCGCTGGTCGCGTTGAGCAAAAGTCGCTTAATTCATTAAAGATATAGAGAGAAAATGATCGGGGGGAATTTAAAGTGGTCGTTTAAGACAAAAGTCGCTTAATACACGTGGTCGCATGGGCAAGTTAGACTGTACTTCATTTTAAAAGGGCAAGTTACCCTTTATATGCTATGACAACGAAGTTTTATTATTTTACACTTTAAAAGGATTATCATTATTTTTAACAAAAAATAAGTATTTCTGGTGTGATATCACATCTCACAAACTTTATGCTTGTCTTTTGAGCTAATATGTGAAGTTACTGACAAAGTTTGATGACTGTAGCTGTTGTTTTGACAAAATGCAGCACTTTTCCTAGATGGCAACATTAGTATTAGGTTTTAATGCAACATGTTGGAGGAAACAATTGAACAGTTGGGGTGCTTTGTTTTATGTTATTTATGAAGTCACCCTTCTAAGAGGGGAGGGCAAATTGCTTTGCTGCTGTTGGTCCATCAACAGTTTCCGTTCATTTTATTCGCAGAAGTTGCACAAACTGAAATTAAATTTGATATACAGATTTATCATAAAAATATCTAGGTCAAGTTCTGTTTTGAGTATGATCAAACAATTTTTGACAGAGTTAATCCCCATGGACTTAGAAAAATTCCAATTATTTGCAGTTGATAATAATTGATAATTTAAGAAAAATTTCAATTTGCAGTTGATAATATTTAATAATTTACAAGTCAAATCTGTTTAATGGTGTATATGTCAACCAAGGTTTGTGCAACCTACAATTCAAAAACCCTTTAGCTTCGACACACCATACTTGATAGGTTGATGCATCTCAGAAAGTACCAGTAGATGACCCCTATTGATTAGTTTTTCACAAACACCTCTTGTTTTATAAAGAAACATATACATGTATTGTAGTGAGCTATTTGAGTCCAGCCCCACACAGGAGACAGCAGAGACATTGTTTGAAGTGGTTCAAGCCTTCCTTGACCTTCAAGCTGAAGTTGATACAGATGATGAAGATATTGATACAGGAAAGCTACGTCTTCTACCAGAAGTCTGTCACAGACTAGCTACACAGGCTCTCTGTATCTGTAGTCAAGGTAAATATTTCTAAACTTTACATATTTTTTAGCTCGACTATTCGATAAGAATAAGTAGAGCTATTGTAGTCACCCGAGCGTCGGCGTCGGTGTCGGCGTCTGCGTCGGCGTAACCACTTATAATAAGTTTTTGTAATAGTTCAAATATTTTCAAAGTCCTTTGACATATGGCTTTGAAACTTTGCACACTTGTTCACCATCATTACCCCAACTTGTAAACAGGAGGAGGTAACTGTATCAAGCATTTTGACAGAATTATGCCCCTTTTTCGACTTAGAATTTACGTTAAAGTTTTTGTAATAGTTCAAATATTTTCAAAGTCCATTGACATATAGCTTTGAAACTTTGCACACTTGTTCACCATCATTACCCCAACCTGTAAACAGGAGGAGGTAATTGTATCAAGCATTTTTTTTACTATCAAGCACTAAGAATAGTCGAGCGTTGCTGTCCTACTGACAGCTCTTGTTATATGTACCAAACAAATTGTGTTTACTACAGATTTTAGCTTCGAGCTTGTTTTATCTATTTGTGGCAAAAAATACAGCACATACTTTGCCATCATACATGGATTTGAACCTCCTTCTACCGCGGCATAAAATTACATTCACATATTGCTTTTGCAATTCCGTAAAAATGAGCTATGCATATACTTTGATGTGACATCATTTGTGCATCATTTTCTCTGAAATCATTTTTGAAGTGGTAATTGTGGTTTTAATACATTTATCAACAAATTTTTGGCCTATCGCTGCCTCCTAATGGCAATTCTGTTTGTGTTGTACAAAATAGCATAAATTTACACTAAATGTTAGATTATAATCATAACTGTGCCAATGAAGTTTGCTTTTGATATTATTCTATAGCTAACAGAAATTTGGTAGACTACAAACATACTACTATAGATTTTCCCAAGAATGCATTCAAACTTAATAATTCGTTAAAAAAAAATCTAATTCTACTATAGGAATGTACATTTTCTTTACTTTTTTTATGATCATGATACATATATTTATATTACAGACAAGTTATGTCAGTACCTAGAATTGTGTAAGATATGTTCCTTGTTGTTATCTGTCAGTCAACAGTGTGAATCAGGGGACAGTACTCTATCTGCTCAGGTAATTATTATTCTCATAAATATTTGTATCTAGAATCATGTACAGTTGACTCTCAATAAGTCAAATCGCTTTACTCAAAATTCTGCGTAAGTCGAAGAATTTCTAAAGTCCCGTCAAATTTCCTTCTTTATCTTTGCATTTTAACTCCGCTTAGGTCAAAATTTGACTTACCGAGACTCCTGTTTAGTCGAAAAGAAAATTTGGTCCCGTCAATTAAACTACAACATATTTTCATCTCAATTAGTCGAAGTGTGAAAACAGCCGACTGATCAAAGGTCGGCGACATCAAGGTGAGATGTTGTCACTCGTGATTCACACGTTTCATAGTAATTTTAATTGCCGGTCATCATGTTTTATTAACACGTCGTAAAAGTGGTTTTAATCGGTTTCAGAAATTAATTGACTCGTGCCAGTCTGACAGGTGTTAGTCAAATTACAGCCTGGGTATTGATGTGTGTTATCAACGTAAATGACATTTGTATAATTAATGTTCCGTCATATTGCATACATTAATATGTACTTCCGGTTAACAATAGTTGCTACTTTCGTTTTTGTCCTATGATCAATTCACTTCAGATATTAGACAAATTGTATTTGAACTGAATGTGTTATTGTGCTTTTATTGTAATGAATTGTCGGGAGTGCTTATTAAAAACACGTGCTTTACTGATGAATACTGACAAACTTGCATTCATGTCATTGCTACGAATGTTTGTGTATATGTTTCACTATTAATATATAGTACTCCCCGCGGGTACCGCGTCCTTGACTATTCCGATGTAATCAGAAAATTTGTTTCTTTACACATTAATTGATGATTGAATGCCACCAAATACTGTTTCCACCATTAAAGTGAAAGTGGCAGTGCTGCTTTTTCTGAATTTGGATAGAAATTGATAGAATTTTTTTCATTTCAAATAAATTCTGTCATTGATAGGAAAATCGAAAGTTGCCTGTGTGTGCTGAAAAAACTTCTTTATTTTACCGCATATTTAACGGTTAAACTTATAATTTCATGTTCAGACAGACAAAGGTTGTCTGCTGAAACTGTAGTGACAGCATATTCTGTTACAAACAATTATACTGAAGCCAAAAAGGGCCATCAATTAACATACCACGGTACCATAGTGCTCTCCGAATAAGCTCCCATTCTAAACATGGCTGACCGACCATAGAAGTTTCTAATTAAGATCATTGAGTTATTCTATGAATGACATGTGTATTTTAAAGTCAAGATGCGAGAGCTAAACACAATTCAATAAAATAGTAAATATAAGATCTTTTTATTAGTACAATTTGCTGGAAATAATAAGAACAGTGGTACCATAGGGGACCATCCTACATGTATTAAATTTTGAATAATATATTTTTGTTCATTTATATATTGTAGTTGTAAGTGATTTACCCTCCTTTCAACGGTTAAATATTACATTATTGCCGCTATCAACAATACAAACCTACTTCTTTGCGCATTCAATCAGGCACATGTATATACATGAACGAATGTCAACGTAATGGCGGCAGATCCACGTTACTCGAATTCCGTTTCTCTCCAAGTAAAATGCCCAGTCCCTTGGATTTCGAGTAACTGAGAGTCAACTGTATGTTAACACGACTTACTATGATTTTCAAATTTTGGATAAAGTTCACAGTTTTAAATATATCCTTACATAATGCAATACCAGCAAGTGCATGATGCAAACCTATTCTAATAAATTGTCAATTGTAGGATACAAACCCAAAAGAGATTGATTGATTGATTGATTGAAGTTGTATGAAATTGTTTCGCGACTGATCTTTACTACATGTTATTGTAATTGTCTTGAAAGATTTATATTTTAAGTTGTTATTAGTTGGGAAAGTTGATGGTCAGTCTCTTGTCTTGTAGGTGTTGTGATAGAATTGATCAATACAGGACTTAGAAATCTCTATATTAAGATGCAAGGTGTATTTTATGCTTCATTCCAAGAAAAGTTGAAAGTGTAACATACATTTCAGGACTTTAACTTTTTACTGTACATGTATTCTATTTTTGTGTAAAATAGATAATAATAATTTGTTTGATTACATTATTACAGTGGGGAGAAGTGACAGAGTTTCGTGTAGACAAGGAGTTATTTACAGACCTCACACTAGATGTGTTCCAGGAAGATGCTTTGTTAATGAGCTCAACTGTTGCTTTACCACTTGTCTCTAAATACACAGTTCTCAATCCACTGTTTAGATCCTTGAAACGTATGTTGGCGATATTATAAACATTTAGAACTTATCTTAATGAAGAATTATACAAATATTTATTTTATTTTTTTGTCACTTTTTCACTTGATGCTGTATTAGTTACAGAAAGGAATTAAGGTGATGCTGTTGATGAATTAATTAAAGTTATTCTGGTACATCACTGTTTCAATAAATAAAAAGAGACTAGTGGGTAGCATAGTAGCAGATGAATGCTGGGTTCAAACCCTACTCTGGTTTCAGTCACGTTTCCTCATCTAGTATCTGTACTGATTATTTCCTGGAAACAGTCTTAAATGTGATGACTGTAAATCGAAAGATTATGTACAAGTATGTTAAACTGATATGTTATTTAATGTTATTGCTATATATACATCTGTTTGACAGGTGCTGTAAAGACAGATGTAGAGGAAAGTTCTCCAGTACAGTTGTTATGTAACAGTGTATTACCTGTGGTACAACATCTTAGAGAGAATAGTCATATACAACTTTCCTTTACTTTCTCCCTCCATATGCTGCTGACACTGTTACAATATATGCAACAACAGGACATGGGTCTGCCCTTCACATCAGAGGTATTGTTCTTATTATATTCCTGTTAACATGTAACTCTGGAAGCTTTATCTAATTACTGCACCTTAATAAAAACTTGAATTTAAAAATCAGTGGCTGTTGTCATATTTACAAAATGTCAACAATAGATAATATCATCTTTAGCACCACTTTGCGAAGAAAAGAAGTGGAACTATTGTCTTGATCCTCTTGTCATTGTTCAGGTCCATTTTCAAAGAAAAAGAAATGCTATTCACTTCAAACTTGGTATACATGTTAATTCCAACTGTCATTAAAGAAGGCCATTTCAAAAGGGCAGATAATCATAAGACATTTTTTTGGCAAAGATATGCCCCTTTTTCTACGTTGCTTTTGTTTGACTACCTGGCACTAAGAAAATTGGAGTGTGCTGTCTGTGGACAGTGACTCTGTGTATATATGACTTTTAATATGCTTTTATTAGTACTTTTCATGGGAAACTTTTTTTAAGTAAAATGGTCCATACATATTTCAACATAACTTGACAATATATAGATAAATACTGTTAATAGCATTAAAAAGTCTCAAATTTACATTGAAGAACTTTATCCTGTTACTTGTGCTTGTATTTAGCTGAAATAAATGTAATAAAGTATATGTTTTTATAAAGGCTCAAAGGGAGAAGATTGTACAGGGCTGGAAATGTGTGCAGGATTTAGAGAAGACAAGCAAGGCTATGATGAAAGATCTTGTCTTTACTCTCGTAATGAAGGTAAGATCATTAAGATCATTTATAAGAAAACTATATCTTATTACTTGTTTTTTTTAAGCATTTAGCAAAAAAAGTTTATTGATGAATATAACTGTCATGTGAGATCATCCCTATTGTATTCACCCAGACATTTACATCACACTGGTTAAGTCTTTACTTGCAAATTGGTATCTCAAAAACAACAGAAAGGAGTTGGTTTTAAACTTCACAGGCTTATCTGGGAGCATAATTGGAGGTCACTGTCAAAGGCCCATAACTCTTAACATGGATTTTGACAGAATTATGGCCTTTTTTTGTACTTGGAAAATTATACATTATTCAGGCTCTTGTTTTACTATCAATTACTGAGAATAGTTGAGCACACTTTGCTACCAACAGCTCTTGCTTATGTTAATTTCTTCAAATTCCTATTTAAAAGTGTTCTTTTTGAAACATTGAACATTATTTTTCACTGATATAAAATTTCAGATATTTAACAGTAGTCGGGTAGATGATCATTTAGCATTCACATACTTGTGTAACCGACCTAAACGTGAAGTGATGGAACTGATGATGAGGTTAACTAAATCAGCAGGACAACAGTATAAAAAACTAAAGGTATTAAGTTTATCTAACCTTTACTATTTTAGGGAAAGTGTCATATGATTTCTTTTTTGACATGCTTTCTTTATATGTAATAAAGTTGATGGGTTAAGATTATTAATAGCTCTAACTATGTAATGTAGTTTCATTTTTATAAAATAAACATGGTACATGATATGTTTCATGATATGTTTGTATTGTTATAAATTTACCATCAGTGCTCCCTCTAGATATTTTGATGATAAAAACATTTTAAGCTATTCACTTTTGCTCATATCTTGGTGTATCCTATAATGATTGATGTAAAATCATATTCCTTAAGTTATGTTGATTACACAATATTTCAAAATCATGCACATTTTTACCAATTTTAAGACTGAAATATAAAGCAAATATTGTCAACTTAAGACCAAAGTCTGAAATATATAGTAAATAATGTAAACTTTAGCCCACCAAATATATAAGGTCTTTTAAGTGGAGCTGTATTTTATATATAATAAGTAAAATGTTTGTATAATACAGGCTATAGCAGGTATGGGTATAGCTCTAGGACAAATCTTCAAGGAGCCAAGTATGATCAGCAGCTGTCAACTGCTAGAGACCAATGCTTCCTGGGGATATAGACTTAGTAAAATGAAGGTATTTTACTAATTTTCTTGTTTCCTTTGGTTACACAGTGTCTTAAATAGGATGCTAAGGTTAGAGGGACTTTTTTGCTATGCACAAACATATAAAGTTATTTTTTTGTTGAAGTGGAGATTTAACAATTACTATACAGGCATTTTGGGGTTACACAATTTAAAAAAAACAAGATATGTTTGTAAAACATGTATGCCCCCTATCAGCAGCCAATTATTCATGTGATAAGGTAATTATGCATGACTTCTGACCAAGTGATCGAACAATTAATAAGGGTTATCAAGTATCTACTGGTCATGACCTTGACCTTTGACCCCTTGACCCAAAACTCAATAGGGGTCATCTGCTGGTCAAGACAAATCATCATTCAAAGTTTGAAGTTCCTAGGCCTAAGCGTTTTTACTTAATTGATCAGAAACCGTTTTTACTTACAAGGTCAATGTGACCTTGACCTTTGACCCCTTGACCCCAAAATCAATAGGGGTCATTTGCTGGTCATGACTAATCACCATGCCAAGTTTTGAAGTTCCTAGGCCTAAGGGGTTCTTTTATTATTGATCTGAAACCGTTTTAACATACAAGGTCAATGTGACCTTGACCTTTGACCTCAAAATCAATAGGGGTCATCTGCTGATCATGACCAATCACTATGCCAAGTTTGAAGTTCCTAGGCCCAAGTGTTCTTTAGTTATTGATCAGAAACCGTTTTACTTACAAGGTCAATGGACCTTGACCTTTGACCCTTTGATCCCAAAATCGAAAAGGGTAATCTGCTGGTCATGAAAAATCACCATACCAAGTTTGAAGTTCCTAGGCCTAAGCGTTCTTAAGTTATTGATCAGAAACCGTTTTTACTTACAAGGTCGATGTGACCTTGACCTTTGACCCCTTGACCCAAAACTCAATAGGGGTCATCTGCTGGTCACCACCAATCATCATACAAAGTTTGAAGTTCCTAGGCCTAAGCGTTTTTAGTTAATTGATCAGAAACCGTTTTTACCTACAAGGTCAATGTTACATGACCTTTGACCCCTTGACCCTGAAAACAATAGGTCATCTGCTGGTCATGACCAATCACCATACCAAGTTTGAAGTTCCTAGGCCTAAGGGTTCTTAAGTTATTGATCGGAAAGCATTTTTACCTACAAGGTCAATGTGACCTTTCCCCTTTGACCCCTTAACCCAAAATCAGTAGGGGTCATCTGCTGGTCATGACCAATCACCATACCAAGTTTGAAGTTCCTAGCCTAAGGGTTCTTTAGTTATTGATCGGAAACTGCTTTTACCTAAGAGGTCAATGTGACGCTTGACCTTTGACCCCTTGACCCCAAAATCAATAGGGGTCATCTACTGATCATGACCAATCACCATACCCAAGTTTGAAGTTCCTAGGCCTAAGGGTTTCTTTCGTTATTGATCGGGAAACCGTTTTTTACCTAAGAGGTCAATGTGACCTTGACCTTTAACCCCTTAACTCCAAAATCAATAGGGGTCATCTTCTGATCATGACCAATCACCATACCAAGTTTGAAGTTCCTAGGCCTAAGGGTTCTTTTGTTATTTGATCGGAAACCGTTTTTACCCAAGAGGTCAATGTGACCTTGACCTTTGACCCCTTGACCCCAAAATCGTTAGGGGTCATCTACTGATCTTGACAAATCACCATACCAAGTTTGAAGTTTCCTAGGCCTTAGGGTTCTTTACTTATTGATCGGAAACCGTTTTTTGCTTACAAGGTCAATGTGACCTTGACCTTTGACCCTTGACCCCAAAATCAATAGGGGTCATCTACTGATCATGACAAATCACCATACCAAGTTTGAAGTTCCTAGGCCTTAAGGTTCTTTAGTTATTGATCGGAAACCGTTTTTGCTTACAAGGTCAATGTGACCTTGACCTTTGACCCTTGACCCCAAAATCAATAGGGGTCATCTACTGATCATGACAAAATCACCATACCAAGTTTGAATTCCTAGGCCTTAAGGTCTTTTAGTTATTGATCGGAAACCGTTTTGCTTACAAGGTCAATGTGACCTTGACCTTTGACCCCTTGACCCAAAATCAATAGGGGTCATCTACTGATCATGACCAATCACCATACCAAGTTTTGAAGTTCCTAGGCCTAAGGGTTCTTTAGTTATTGATCGGAAACCGTTTTTTGCTTACAAGGTCAATGTGACCTTGACCTTTGACCCCTTGACCCAAAATCAATAGGGGTCATCTACTGATCATGACAAATCACCATACAAGTTTGAAGTTCCTAGGCCTTAAGGTTCTTTAGTTATTGATCGGAAACCGTTTTTGCTTACAAGGTCAATGTGACCTTGACCTTTGACCCCCTTGACCCCAAAATCAATAGGGGTCATCTACTTGTCATGACCAATCACCATACCAAGTTTGAAGTTCCTAGGCCTAAGGGTTCTTTAGTTATCACTCGGAAACCATTTGGTCTACGGACCGACGGACCGACAAGTGCAAAGCAATATACCCCCTTTTTTTCAAAAGGGGGCATAAAAATTGTAATCCCACATCCTAGTATAGACATTGGCTAGAAATTGGTAAAACAGGTAAATACAGGATGAAATCATGTTTGTTAAAAATAAATGTAAGTAAAAATTCATTTATTTACTTTAAAACGTTGTTTGCCTCATGAAAACTTTCATATCACCCATTATTCAAACATTTATGAGTTATCAACATGAAACAAGGAGCAGTAGTTGGACTAGGGAGTTATGCCCTTTTTGAATATAGAGTTTTTAACAGATGAGCATTAACATGGCATACAGTGCTCTTGTTTTAAGCAGACTTGCTTAAATAAGTAAGATTTTTGATTCAAGTGTTTAATATAGATAAATGGGTTGAAACTGACATAAAATGTTACAATGTCACATAAAAATTAACAAATTATTACAGATTTCCTTCAAGGATGCTATTTTAGGACCAAACAGTGAAAAGACCAAGTTACTACCAACTATTGCACAAAATGAGGGTGCAGATACAACATTAGTGAAGGAATTTTGTCAGTAAGTTATTCAGTAACACTGGAATCTGAACACAGACACTAATCTTACAAAATTCTAATATAATAATTTGGAGTTAAAAGACATGCATGTTTACAATATATGTCTTTGGATTCTTTCTTGTGGGTAACCGGTTCCTGTTTGTGCTTTAAAATAATGAGCGGCTGGGCACATGAGGTCTTCCTCCACCAGTTAAAGCAGGAAAGTCGCCACATGACCTATATGTTGGTGTGACGTAAAACCCAACCAAAAAAAAGTAACCTCAACAACTAATTAAAGTGTTTGAACACTTGCTGCATTAAAAAATGTTGGGACTTGTTGCTACAAGTATTTTAAGTTTTGGAATAATTTTATTGCATGTTTTGAGAATTATTTGTAGTTCAATTATTGTTATACTTACAGGCAAATAATGTATGTAATTTAATCTTACAGATCATTTGAGCTGGATGTGGATGAGGGATTGTTACTATATTTAGATCACTTATTTGTACAGCCAGATGATACTTCATTTGAGACAGAGAACAACAAGGCCTCAGTAATATCTCGTGCTTGGGAGGCTGTCTCTATGATCAAAAATGAAGATGAACTGATGCGATGTATCAAGAAAATTTATTACAGGTAACCATGACAATTATATTTAAATTTGGCATTATAAAAGGGTTGTCTTATGTTATATATAGTAGAATGAAAACTACGTAATGGAATTTATTTAATCTTTGCATGATCTAAGAATATGAATCAGTTAAAGTGAAAAGAAATGGAGGTCACCAACCCTTTTTTCGAGTAATCTTCCCTAAATTTTGTTTTTTGAGATTTGACCTTTTTAAGTACCTCTTTAAAAACATAGACGTACATGTAAACTGGACAGATTGAGTTAATGTCTTACACTCTTGAATGCAATCTATAAATATATTGGTTGAAATACTGAAATACTATTTCATGTCCCCTTTTGGGTTTGCGTTAAAAGAAAATCATTTAAAATTTGTTAGGCCCATACTTTTTTTTATTGTCTCCCTTTGGGCTTAAATAAGGTTTTCCCCAAAAAAAAAAATTTTTCACTTGGAACTTTGACAGATTTATCTTAAGTGCAAGGAATGAGTAGAAATATATGATAAATTTATTTTCAGGACAAGTGGCTATGATTATGAGACTTTAGAGTTTGCACTAGAGGTGATGGCCAAGTCCAGTGATGTTGGAGACATACCTGTAGATAAGGTACTACACAATTTTTATGTTGTGTCTCATATATTTTTTTCATAGCAAATTTTTTAAGGTCTGTAGTAGAACTTTGTTTTCAGATGTTCAAAATTAAGATTGTAGGCCAAACTGGTGTCAATGATGGTGCATCATCATATTTTCTTTATACATTTGCAGTAATTTTGTACATGTACTTAACCCTTTAAATGCCAGCAGAGACATGAAGTTGTGTATGTTACCAAATACATGTACAACCAGGCATAAATGTCTGCATGTTCATACAGTCTTACCACACTGTGCACTGTTAGGGATCTTGGTTGTGTTTTTATAATAAAATCCCTCACATTAACATTGGGTAGGTACAAATTAAAAGCTTGACACTATATATAAATTTAGCATTTTAAGTGTTTACCTATCTTGGTGTGATCTTTTTTCAGGGGTTAAAGTTGCTGGAATATCTGAAGGTCTACACACGTCATGCACCACCAGCTGAATATGAGATTGAATTTAAGATTGGTGGTGAGAAAAAGGAGGCAAGTATACAATCGGATATCAATTAACTTTTTAGCTCACCTGTCACAAAGTGACAGGGTGAGCTTTTGTGATCGCTTTTCGTCCGGCGTCCGTCCGTCCGGCGTCCGTCATCCGTCCGTAAACTTTTACTTTAAATGACATCTCCTCATAAACCACTAAGCCAATTTCATCCAAACTTCACAGGAATGTTCCTTTGGTGGTCACCTTTAAAAATTGTTCAAAGAATTTAATTCCATGCAGAACTCTGGTTGCCATGGCAACCAAAAGAAAAAACTTTAAATATCTTCTTTTAATAAACCCAAAGAGCTAGAGCTTAGATATTTGGCATGAAACATCTTCTAGTGAGTGTCTACCAAGTTTGTTCAAATAAAAGCCCTGGGGTCAAAATTGGCCCCGCCCCAGGGGGTCATTGATTTTCCCTATATGCATATAGTAAAAACTTAAAAAATCTTCTTTTAAAGAACCCATAGAGCTAGAGCTAAGATATTTAGCATGAAACATCTTCTAATGGGTGTCTAACAAGTTTGTTCAAATAAAAGCCCTGGGGTCAAAATTGGCCCCGCCCCAGGGGGTCACATTGATTTTCCCTATATGCATATAGTAAAAACTTAAAATCTTCTTTTAAAGAACCCAAAGAGCTAGAGCTAAGATATTTAGCATGAAACATGTTTCTAATGGGTGTCTACAAAAGTTTGTTCAAATAAAAGCCCTAGGGTCAAAATTGGCCCCCGCCCAGGGGGTCATTGATTTTCCTTATATGTGTATAGCAAAAACTTAAAAAATCTTCTTTGAAAAAAACCCATATAGCTAGAGTTTAGATATTAAGCATGAAACATCTTCTAGTGAGTGTCTACCAAGTTTGTTCAAATAAAAGCCCTGGGGTCAAAATTGGCCCCGCCCCAGGGGTCATTGATTTTCCCTATAATGCATATAGTAAAAACTTAAAAAATCTTTCTTTTAAAGAAACCCATAGAGCTAGAGCTAAGATATTTAGCATGAAACATCTTCTAATGGGTTTTCTACAAGTTTGTTCAAAATAAAAGCCCTTGGGTCAAAATTGGCCCCGCCCCAGGGGTCATTGATTTTCCCTATATGCATATAGTAAAAACTTTAAAAATCTTCTTTTAAAGAACCCAAAAGCTAGAGGTAAGATATTTAGCATGTAACATCTTCTAATGGGTGTCTACCAAGTTTGTTCAAATAAAAAGCCCTGAGGTCAAAATTTGGCCCGCCCCAGGGGTGTTCATTGTTTTTTAACTATATGTGTATAGTAAAAAACTTTAAAAAATCTTCTTTTTAAAAAACCCAATGAGCTAGAGGTTAGATTTTAAGCAGGAAACATCTTTTTGTTGGTGTCTACCAAGTTTGTCCAAATAAAAGCCCTTGGGTTTAAATTTGCCCTGCCAAAGGGGGGGGGGGGTGGAGGTCATTGTTTTTTATTATATGTGTGTAGTAAAAACTTAACATTATGAAACATCTTCTAATGGGTGTCTTCCAAGTTTGCTCAAATAAAAGCCCTGGGGTTTAAACTGGCCCCGCTCCGGGGGCCTATATACAGGTGAGCGACCTCAGGGCCATCATGGCCCTCTTGTTAATTTATTACAATGGATAAAGGTAGTTTTATGCAAACAATTGAATACTTGATAATTGATTTTTAAAAGGACAACCTTTTACTATTGTCAGATTAAAAAAGATAAGTGATTGACATTCAAAGTTTTAATTTTTTTCTTTTCTTTTTTTTAATTGCTTAATTTCCTAAACAAGAATACCTTTTATAGAAAGTATATACATGTATATTAATATTAGGTAAGCTATACTGTGCCATCAAAGGACAATTTATCATTTTAAGGATATATAAAAGTTAAGCCTTATGTATTTATTACAGTCTCAGATTTTTATGGCATCTTTACCACCAGAGAGTAAGACCAGACTACCTGTGCATCCTTTACTGCATAAAGATCCCTGGAAAGTGATCAGTAAGTAAAATTAGCCAATGTACTAATATATCCTGATAATCTTGGTAGTGAAAACATAATCTGTAATTTTTGTGTGCCTTCAAGACTAATCAGTACTTAATATCATGTAGAAACATGCCAATGAGAAGGGCTGGAACCAGTAATTCCTGAAGGCAATCTTATTTACTAGTAGACCACCAGTTTAAAAGAGAGTCTAGGATATAAGAAAATGTTAATATATTCAAATAACAAGGTATATTTGAGAAATAAAAACTGAAATGTACCCATAACTTTAAAAAAGAAAGAAAAAGAATATATGTTACCTGGCAGCAGATAAAACTAGTTCTTGCATATTTCTTTCAATCAATCAGTCACTTATATACATATATGTGTTGAATGGAACAACATATCTTTTGTTATACTGTGTTTTGTATCTTTTGTAGCTCCAGAGCTGAATAGAGAGACAGTTGCTACATGGCTTCTGATGGCAAAACTGCTCAGTGTAAGGATATCTTTAAATTTGTCATGTGATATAATAGAAATACAACTATTTGTTTTTACAATCCTGAACTTTAACACCATGTTGGTATTTGATGAACTCATTAGTGTAACTTTTAGCCCTGTCCAACAATATTTATGAGTGTGTCCTTTCAGAAATACTTATTTTTAAACTTTTTGAGATAGGTGAATTTTATTTGTTAAATATGACTGGACAATATCTTATATGCCAAACTTGAGTCTTCTGTTTTACTGTCTTCTATAATAACACTCATTAAGCAACGGGAATTTACTAAAAGTAAGTAAATGAGACAAAAAAATCATGCTCCAAATGCAAAGGCAAAAAATCTGTCTTGCACGTACACTTCAATTCGTAAAATCAGAATTAATAATTGAAAGAACTTTTTTTATGAAAAAATATATTTGATAGTATTTTATTAGGCATTTTAGACTTATTATAGATGTTAGGACTTATCATTGTATATACATGTATATAAACCCTGAACCACCCTTTTTTTTGGAACATAGGCATTATAGACAACCATTATAGACAACCTCTGATAGTTCCCAGATCCCACAAAAGAATGTTCTAACATGCCAGGTACATATAATGGTAGTTTAAGGAATGAAACATATTGCGTTCCCAAATACCAGATCATTTAAGGATATAACCTTATATGTTGGAACTTATTATTGTATATGAGCCGCATCACGACAAAACCAACATAGTGCATCCAAGCAGTCTGGTCAGGATCCATGCTTTTCGCTGTCAGTTTCTCCACTTGTAATAGGGTTGGTAAGCGAAAGGCATGGATCCTGATCAGACTGCGCGGATGCGCACGGTCTGGATCCATGCTGGTCACAAACCCACTAAAATGTTGGCTTTGTTGTGACGCGGCTCATATATATTTCAGTTATCTCCAGACCAGATCTGTCTAACAGCAGTACAGAACATGGTGAGAGTGTATACTGAAACATTTACAAGCCCTGATGGAGGATCAGACATGAGTCACTGGAACTGGAGGCCCGAACAGGCCAACCAAATCCTACTACAGGTACACTTATACTATATCTGTCATTGTTTGGTCACAAGTAGTGTAAAAGTAAATATAACTTTGTTTCTTATCTACTCATTAATGACTTTTTAATGTACTTCAGAATAATTTTGTTACATCATTATCTTTATGAAATTAGTATTACTTATAAAGGAAGAAGTCCAGATCTTATTAGCTCACCTGTCACAAAGTGACAGGGTGAGCTTTTGTGATCGCTTTTCGTCCAGCGTCCGTCCAGCGTCCGTCCGTCCATCGTCCGTCCGTAAACTTTTGCTTTAAATGACATCTCCTCATAAACCACTGAACCAATTTCATCCAAACTTCACAGGAATGTTCCTTTGGTGGTCACCTTTAAAAATTGTTCAAAGAATTTAATTCCATGCAGTACTCTGGTTGCCATGGCAACCGAAAGAAAAATCTTTAAATATCTTCTTTTAAAGAACTGTAAGAGCTAGAGCTAAGATATTTGGCATGAAACATCTTCTAAAGAGTGTCTACCAAGTTTGTTCTAATAAAAGCCCTGGGGTCAAAATTGGCCCCGCCCAGGGGGGGTCATTGATTTTCCCTATATGCATATAGTAAAAACTTAAAAAATCTTCTTTGAAAGAACTGTAAGAGCTAGAGCTTAGATATTTAGCACAAAACATCTTCTAGTGAATGTCTACCAAGTTTGTTCAAATAAAAGCCCTGGGGTCAAAATTGGCCCCGCCCCAGGGGGTCATTGATTTTCCCTATATGCATATACTAAAAACTTAAAAAATCTTCTTTTAAAGAACCCAAAGAGCTAGAGCTAATTTATTTGGCATGAAACATCTTCTAGTGAGTGTCTACCAAGTTTGTTCAAATAAAAGCCCTGGGGTCAAAATTGGCCCCGCCCTGGGGGGTCATTGATTTTCCCTATATGCACATAGTAAAAACTTAAAAAATCTTCTTTTAAAGAACCGTAAGAGCTAGAGCTAAGATATTTAGCATGAAACATATTCTAATGGGTGTCTACGAAGTATGTAAAAATAAAAGCCCTGGGGTCAAAACTGGCCCCGCCCCGTGGGTCATTGATTTTCCTTATATGTGTATAGCAAAAACTTAAAAATCTTCTTTGAAAAAACCCAAATAGCTTTAGTTTAGATATTAAGCATGAAACATCTATAAGTAAATATCTACAAATTAAAGCCCGGGGGACAAAACTGGCCCTGCCCCAGGGGTGTCATTGTTTTTATCTATATGTGTATAGTAAAAACTTAAAACATCTTCTTTTAAAAAACCCAATGAGCTAGAACTTAGATGTTTAGCATGAAACATCTTCTTGTGGGTGTCTACCAAGTCTGTTTAAATAAACAAATAAAAGCCCGTGGATAAAAATTGGCCCGGGGGGGGGGGGGGGGCTATATACAGGTGAGCGACCTCAGGGCCATCATGGCCCTCTTGTTTTTATCTTAAATATGAGAATTTTGTCTCCTATTGATTCCACAGAATTATAAAATTTGAGATATTTTGTGATGAAACATAGGAACATTAATATTTTAATGTAATTCATATTGATATGATAAATAATAGAATGTGGTATGATTATTTTTTATTTTAAAGTTTTCCAAGTATTAACATATGTGATCCTTTGACTTATAGATATTTATTTCTTATTACCCCAGGATGCAGTGCAAGTGTTACAGAGCATTAAGAATTGTGAGAGCTCTCTTGCATGTGCTAAATGGATGGTCACCAAACTCCCCTTGGGTATCTACCTTTATTTTCACCTTGAATTTTAAATTAATCTTCTTTCTAATGCAAGGCTTGATTTTTATTTAGATTTAATTAATGGTTAGTTATATATCTTGAAAATAAGTCTGATAATTAAGAGTGACATTTTATAATAGGGTAGTCAGCATGGCATTAAAGATGATATTTAAAACAAAATATTCATAAAGTACTAATATTTAGGTTCTGAGAAGGTGTTGGTCCTGAAACACTGTGTAAAACTAGCAGAGTTATGGCACTTGAGTATTACTGAAGAGGTATGTATACTAACTTATTTGGTTAGTGGTCTTTTCTAAATTCTTTGATGAATTGTTCTTTTTTTGATGGAAATATTCCTGTTAAGTTTAAAACAATTTTCTATGGCTGTTGAACAGTTTTGCAGTATTACCTTGTTAAGGCTTTGAATCATTTATGCATGATATTAGAATTTTTGTAAAATTATTCTTCTGCAATGATACTTCCTTGTGTCCAAGAAATGTACTGAAATAAATCTTAGACAACCAAATTACCAAAAATACCATTTATTAGGTTAACATATCGTATATTTACTTCAGTAAAATATCACAATTGACTTGTATTTTGTAAAGTGTGGAAAGAAAGAAAAAGCAAAGGGAGCCTACCTGAAATTTCTCAGTCACTGGCAGAAGATGGCATCGGCACAAGCCCTGTGTTTGAATGGTCTTGGTGAAGCGGAGTTGTTACAAAGCACAGACAAACCATCATTACTGTTACAGAAATTATATGAACATCCTAGTATCACACAGCTTGAATGGGAAGCTGGGTCAATCAAACCTGGTTAGTATTTGTCATAGATGAATGATAATGATAGAAAAGACATGCATGGCTGAGTGGTCAAGATCATTGATGAGAACAGTCACTTGACATTCACTGGCTTAAATCTTGTATGAAATTGTTTGGTGATGAACTTTTCTGGTTACCTTATTTGATGAAAGGGTGGCTGTAAACAGATTATGTTTCAGCTCAAAACTCAACAAGTAAAGAGACTTTTAGGCATATAAACCTTCGGATTCAACTTTGGTGACACATTATTGGAAATAGGACAAATTGCAGTAGTCTGCAACCACTGTTTTATGTGACCTACATTGAAAGGTTGGCAGTAAGAAATGCAAGTAGTAATGGTACAGAATCCAAGAACTGCTTTTATTTGTCTGAAATACCATTAATGTTCCTTGACCAATTAAAATAAACTTTAAATTAATTCCCAAATAAAATTATATATACAGTAAAACGTCTATAGTTGAACTTCGACAAGTCGATTTTTGCGATGTGTCGAAGTAAAATGAAAGTCCCATGGTTTCATTTGAGAACTTCTGTGACCGGGTGTCTCAGTATCATATTTTGATTTCATTGTTGCATTTACAATTGATTACGTTTAGTTGTTTTGGATTTTAGTTTTTCATGATGTCTTAAGCAGACATGATGTGACTGTCAGAACTGATAAATCTCTGTGTATGGTGTTTTATATTGAGATTTGTTTTTAGATATTCATACTGCTGCAGTGAAGATTGCTGACATCAACAATATTGTACTAGATGGTGTACACAATACATTGATCATGAAATGGTTACAGTCTGGTAACAAGGCACAACAAGATTCTGACACTGTAAGTCAACAGTCACTTATTACCATTCTTTAGCTGTCTAAACACTTACAATGCTTTTTCAACCAGTATAGATCCAGGCTAGGTCAGACTGCTTTATGATGCTATCCGAATAGGTCCTATTTTGTTGGTTTATATACTTTTGATACATTAAATGAATCTTATTTGTAACAACACTGAAATTGATAACGTAAATGGATTTTGTTTTATGATTCAGAAGTAAAATTTTTTGTAAGTAAAACAACATTATTATTAGCACACAGTCTAGACTTGACAGACACATGTTGTATGTTATGTGAAATGTCTAACATGTGACTTACCTAATCAATCTATAGCTGGTATACATACAATGTAAATACCAACAAAATCAAGTTACAACATGGTCTTCAGTTTAAAAGAAAGAAAATGAAATTATAAGAGAATCTTAAGAATTAGATTAGATAATGCAATAGTTATTTTATTTCAGACAATGACATTTAGCTTGGAGAATATCAAACTAAGTGAAACACTTCGAGAAATTGATGATGATGATGAGGAAATCAATTTCAAAAGGTGAGAAGTTGCAGTATTAACATATTTTTTCTGAGGATGTTCTGTCCCATGATTTGCCATAATTTAAAAAAAATAAAGGCATTGTTCTTTCCAGGTGCAATATGTCTTTTAGATGCAATCATCTTTTGTGTTGTAGTATCTGAAACGGCCGATCTGAAACGGGCAAACAATTTTTCCTCACCTTGTCAAGTATATTACAATATATTGTGTGTTATAAAGTCTTAGAGAGACATTATTTGTATTGAGACTCCAACAGAGTTTAATAATTGTTGGTTAAATGTTCCGTCATTCACATTTAATCTGTAGTAAGCATGTATTGTGTTTCAGAATTGTTCATCTTGTTGAGAAAGAAAACAATGAAAAGAATATCATGAGATTGTTTGAGTATGCCCTAAAGGTAATTGTGTATTTTTCAGATATTAGTTTTTGATTTGTTGAACTTCTTGCTCTTTATTACTGGTATAGTTTGTAATATATTGATAGGATATCATGTAGCATCCTTTAGATGTATTTATAAAGATTCCATGAAATTTGCTAAAGTTTTAATGAATAGGCTACAGACATTATAATTTGGCTACAAAGTTCTCATCCATGTTGTATTCTTGTTTGATAATATTTTGTTGGAAATCAGAAAATCACACTGATTTGATTGAAAGAAATTTTCCTCACTTGTCGCTGATATATTATTTCTAAACTCTTTTCAGCTTGAAATGTCAGTTTTAGATTATCTTTGTTATTAAATATTAGAAAGTTCAAAATATAGAAGTGTACATAGCAAAACTGGTCATGGAATAGTTAATTTATTAAGTACTACTAATATTGCTAAAAACCAGTTGACTTCTATTTATTACAATAATTGTAAATTAACACTACTGATGATATTTTAGCCACATGAAGGTCGTGAGACAGTATGCTGTATCCGGGCATTAAGATGTTTACTTCACCTATGTGATGATGCCACCATGCAGAAAGAATGTAACAAGTCATTGGAGGACATAAGGTAAGTTATCTATCTCAAAATAGAGTCATCTTTGACTACTGGCAACAAGATTATAACATGCATATTTGCTAAAAGCCTGGCCGACTATTACATCTATGCAGCTAACAAGACTGCTGACTGCTTTGCTATTTGATATTGAAATCCATAAAGATAACAATGGAAATTTCCAAGTTCAAATCATTGTCCATGTTCATAAGGTAAAGTAGACATGTATATAAGGGTAACCTTAGGTGAAATATCTTCTGTGTTGGAGAAAACTTATAAAATGATTGATAATGTGTATGTTACTGAATATTTACAGGAATCTGTTACATGTGATGATTTATCTGTCAAGTCTTGAGAAACTTCACATTCGACATACTGTAGAGACATTTATCTCCTGTCATAAAGAAGGACTGGTGAAAGGAATCTGGAAAAATCATAGTCATGAAAAAACTGTTAGTTTCCCTTTCATACTGAATGTTCTTTGATTGTGATTTTGGTCTTAGTTTTTAGCTCGACTTTTCTATGAAAAGGGGAGCTATCCTACTCGCCCCGGCGTCGGCGTTGGCGTCGGCGTTGGCGTCACACCTTGGTTAAGTTTTTCGTACCACCCCACTTTATTTCAGAAGTATTACAAGTATGGCTTTGAAACTTACCATACTTGTTCACCATCATAACCTCCATCTACAGACAAGAGTACATAACTCTGTCAAGGTTTTTGACAGAATTATGGCCCTTTTTTGACTTAGAAAGTGTATTGAGCTTGGTTAAGTTTTTTGTACCACCTCACTTTATTTCAAAACCATTGGAGGTATTGCTTTGAAACTGACCATACTTGTTTACCATCACGACCTTCATCAACAGACAAGAGGACATAACTCTGTCAAGGTTTTGACAGAATTATGCCCCTTTTTGACTTAGAAAATACATTGAATATGGGTAAAATCCACTTATTGCCTTAACCCTTTGAGATATTGCTTTGAAACTTTTAATGCTATTTCACATCATTACCCCCATCTGTACGCAAGAGAAGGTAACTCTGTCAAGGATTTGTTTTAAAAATTAAGGCCTTTTATCGACTTAGAATCTTGGTTAAGTTTTTAGTACCAGTCCACTTTTTGACTGAACTGTTTGAGATATTAATTTGAAAGTTGGAATACTTGTTTACAATCATGATTCCCAAACATGTCCAGGAGAAGGTAATTCTGTCAAAGATTTTATTTGAATTATGGCCATTGTTCACTTTAAAAATACAGAGATTCTTGTATTGCCTTTTACTGCAAAAACTTTTTTTATTGGCAAGCAATAAAAAAGTCGAGCGCGCTGTCTTACGGACAGCTCTTGTTTAATATCTTCATGACTTTTATATACCCTTTATAAATTTAAGGTTATGCAGTATTTTAACGCTCGAAAGCACAGTGTATTGGTTTAGTTTAAACTCAATTTATTCAAGTTGTGGGTGAAGAAAGCTTGTTGTCCTGGAACTAACATGAGGAAACACAGTTGTAACAGCAGTCAGACTCGAACGTGGAATCCCTAGGTTGTGACTAAGCCGTCACTCTTCAAAAACAGATTGTTAGTGATAGAACTACTAATACTTAAAATATAAAACAATAATAAAATTAAAACTACTTGAATGTATTTTCACAGGCTGTGACATTGGTGTCGTGTTTGTGTCTAGATTTTGAGATCTATGACTTCCAGTTATGGACAAGCATTCTGCAGAGGCTTCATTCATTTGGACTGGTGAGTTTATCTGTAATGTTTGTAGCATTTATGAATAGCTGCATTTTACTTGATATTCAAAATCAGTAAATATGTGTGTGGAGCCAGTCTTGATAGTGAAGCAATGTCACTGCTCTATGTCTAACATAATTGTGTTATCCCGTTCACTGCATCACACACTGTTATGTTTGAGTAGGAATAACAGAGCAAATGAAAAGAAGTCATGGAGGAAATGGTAAAGAATCAATTTAAGGGTGACTGTAGTTTTGGTAACTTATTTTACTACAATGCCCTTTACTGCTGTATGTTTCGAAAATACCTGGGACTTTCAATGTGGTAATTCATATAAAGTTGGTGGGTATATGCAAGAGCCTCTTTGTGCATGAAATAATGAATGAACGGGCACATTCTGACCTCCCCAACCAGTAAAGCTGGAATTTGACCAAATGACATTACCTGGTAAATTATATAATTATTTTTATGCCCCCACAATGTGGGAGCATATAGCGTTGCACTTGTCCGTCCGTCAGTCAGTCCATCCGTCCGTCAATCCGTCAGTCCGTCCGTACGTCCCGAAATCTTGTGAACGCAACTCCTCTTAAACCGGATGGCAGATTTTGCTTAAACTTACAGGGATGAACAACCTTAATGTGGAGATGGTAGTAAAGGAAGGAATTTTCACTGCGACCAAATTTAACAGAATTATGGCCCTTTGTTGATTTTTTCACTAGATACTATGTAGAAATTTTGTGAACGCAACTCCTCTTAAACTGGATGGCAGATTTTGCTTAAACTTACAGGGATGAACAACCTTAATGTGTAGATGGTAGTAAAGGAAGGCATTTTTGCTGTGACCAAATTTAACAGAATTATGGCCCTTTGTTGATTTTTTCATTATATAATTATATACTATGTAGAAATTTTGTGAACGCAACTCCTCTTAAAACGGATGGCAGATTTTGCTTAAACTTCTAGGGATTAACTACGTTAATGTGTAGATGGTAGTTAAGGAAGGAATTTTTGCTGTGACCAAATTTAACAGAATTATGGCCCTTTGTTGATTTTTTCATTATATAATTATATACTATGTAGAAATTTTGTGAACGCAACTCCTCTTAAAACGGATGGCAGATTTTGCTTAAACTTCTAGGGATTAACTACGTTAATGTGTAGATGGTAGTAAAGGAAGGAATTTTTGCTGCGACCAAATTTAACAGAATAATGGCCCTTTGTTGATTTTTAGTTTTTAACTTGCGGCACATGTAGTCCAAAAAATATTTTACCTAGAGTCATAAGATTGACAGAACAGTGGCGTGTGGGGGCATCTGTGTCCTATGGACACATTTCTAGTTTATCACATATTTCATTTGTAGTTGTATCTTTTTGATTGAGAGAGATTCTGAAAGTTTGATAATTCAGTGAGATGTTCAGAACATGATGATTTTCAGGTGACCCAGCTAGAATATGTGTTGTTGCGCCTCAACAATGTGCCAGAACTATGGCAGATTGCAGCTTTCCCTAAAATGTGGTATACTGTTGTATCTATGCCTCTACTCAAAGGTGAGAACCAAGTTTAAATTCTAGTTTTGAGAATTTTTATTTCCTCATACTCAATTTTTGCGGAGGCATGAAGTTTTTGCACCGTCTGTCCATCCCTCTGGTTCATAACATTATCATTTATGAATGGATTTTGAAATAATTTTGCATAAATGTAAAGCACATTGAGACAATGTGCTGTACACAGGACACATGTTCATCAAAGTGCTCTTATGATTGTGTCTGGTCATAAATTCTGTCATTCTTAGGTGGATTTAAAATATCTATGCAGAAATGCATTAGACATTGAGGTGTTATGCACAAAAATGGGGTCTAGCTCAAAAGTCAAGGTCACACTTGTATGTTCAAATTTACAATTTGTCTGTTTCGAACTGCATGTTTTGAAAAACTTAAGTCATCAGAGAACTGTCATAGGGTTTGTGAAATTTCTATAGTTCACTTTTTTATTTATTAAAGATTTTTTTGTAAATCTGTTACTCCTGAAAGATATTTCACAAAGAGACAGTTGCATCAAAATATTATACGGAAACATCTTTAACAGTAATATAAAACAGTATTAAATATGTTTATCTTTCTTTCAGTATGTTCACCTTTGAGTAAAGAACAGACAGACACATGTGTACATTACTTCAATGTCTTGTTAAGGTAAGTTTGATTTACATGATGTGAGAAAACATAAACAGAAAGATAAAAGTTGAAAAAAAATCCAAAGAATAAAAAAAATGAAAATAAGAATTACAGGATTCAAACTTGTGCTCAATAAGTCTAATACAATGTTTTTGTCATGTTTTCAGATGTCCTGTATTGAGGGATCTGGATGGTGACATGTTATCTAAACTATACCACAAGTTAGAGATGCCAGCTTGTTCTCTGGGATGTCTCATCATCTGTAAATCATCGTCTGATGCCATGTTTCAGGTAGCTATAACTTTGCTTCACTCTGGTTAAATGAGACTGCTACAGCAGTTGAAAGCTTAACATGACTGTTGGTTTATTAATTAAAAACTTCGGACACAAAATCATTTTGCTGTAAATAAATCTAATAGAAGTTCTGTTCTGCTTGAGTATAATGGACTTGACTTGATTTTTGGGCTGTATCTTGTAACTAACAGTGATTTTAATATGCAAATATTAAATTTTTTAGAGTTAAGACAGACTGCATACATTTGTAGGCTGGCTTAACTCTTAGTGTTTGCATAATTCTGATATTACCATTGACTGGGTCAAAAAATTACTGTAAAGATTTAGTAAATTCATTTCTTAATTCCTATGTATAATTACTATTTTATACTTTCAGTATACTTAATTAGACATGCACTTTGTATAATATGTTTTTTGATATAGCACTTTTCTTGTTTTTGTATAGAATAAAGTGAGTGAGGAAGGCAGACAAATCCTGGATAACATTGACTATATGCTCCAGTGTGGTCTAAGTCATGGAATCAGTACTAAGGTAACTAAAATTTGAAAACCAGGTTATTTAAGTTTGATTGCAAAACAAGCTCTTGCAAAATTAATCCTGTTTGAGTCTTCTTCCTGGAACTATCTAGTTTGTGTTATATTAGAAATCATGGTCATGACCAAAGTAGGGCTTGAACCCATGATACCTAGGTTGAGAGGCAGACACCCTAACCACTATAACACCCCTCCCCTTTGACTAGGAAATCTTAGTGTAAAACTAGTGGATTTTTTTTAAATTTTCAGCAAGATGGCTCATATGTTTAAAACCAACAACAAGCAAGAAATTGTTTGCTGTAGTGAAGAAATCTTAGGCATAAAAAGCAAGAGAATGGTTTCGAATTCATTTTAAAATATCTGCAATTTATACTTTAATTATCAAACAAGCAATCACTAGTAGGGTTAATTTTACTTCAAGCAAATTGATTAGATGATTAAAACTTGATATTGTTTTATGTATTATCAGATTCAAGAGAGTGTATATAAAGATATGCTGGTATGTGAGAGGTTTGAACAGATTCTAGATACACCATACCAACAACAGTTTGTGGAGTATTGTGTCAAGATGAAACAAATAGATGACCTATTAGTGTTTGCTATAAAACATCAAAGGTAAGAGTTATAGGGAGGCAGATTATTATAGAATGAAAACATTAGAGTGATCTTGATACAATTGGAAATTAAGTTTTGAAGGTTTATTAAGATAAGGTGTGTAGAAATATCTAGTTTTTGGTTCTTTCCTTAAGAAAAGAAATTCCTTTGTCAAAAATTGCCAATTTGTCATATTTGCATTGAATACAAGTTCAAGATATATTCTGTATTAATTATATTACTTAAAAGATTGTTAAAGCAGAAGTATTGTCAGTTTAAATGACAGGTTCATTACAAATTGTATAAAGCGGCTTTAATCAGTTTAGTAGTACTATGGTTATCTATATATATATATATTATATATATATATCAATGATTACAGGTTAACAGAAGCTCGTACATTGGTGATGGTATATACGAATGCCCACACGGACGTGTGTATGAAGGTAGCACAGTATATAGATGAGGAGGAAGAGGAAGAAGACAGTTCTACAGCACTGCTTAAGGTTAACACAAAATACTTTAAATTCATATTATAATTACACCCCGCACAAGAAGTTGTAATTGGGGGTATACTGAAATCAGCTTGTCCATCTGGACGTCACCGCGTCCGGCAATTTTTCCTTGTCCGCCCAATTACTTAAGATTCCTTTGACCTACAGTCTTCATATTTGGTATTTAGATTGGTCATGATTAGTAGATGATCCCTATTGATTTTGAGATCACTATGTCAAAGGTAATGTCACAGGGACCTTGACTTAAAAAAGCTTGTCTACCCAATAACTTAAGATTCCTTTGACCCACAGTCTTCCTATTTGGCATGGAGTTTGCCATGACCATTAGGTGTTGACTTTGAGGTCAAAGGTCAAGGTCGCAGCGACCTTGACTAAAAAAAGTTGTCCACCCAATAACTTAAGATTCCTGTGACCCAGTCTTCATATTTGGTATGGAGCTTAGCCATGATTAGTCAATGACCCCTATTGATTTTGAGGTCACTGGGTCAAAGTCACAGGGACCTTGACTTCAAAAAGTTTGTCCGCCCAATAACTTAAGAAACCTTTGACCCACAGTCTTCAAATTTGCACTCATCAAATTAAGCACTGGCCAAGTGGCCCTTGGCCAGTGTAAATTAGTTCGGGCCAGTGTTAATTTTAAGAAAATTTAGTTAAATATAAAGTAGCAGAAATTCAAAACTGGAATGCAGACCAGTAAATTCAAAATCTTAAATTCATTGACTGTATTTGCAAGGATGTTGATCATAACCATAAGGTGACCCCTATTGATTTTGAAGTCACTGGGTCAAAGGTCAAGGTCACAGGGACCTTGACTAAAAAAAGCTTGTCCACTCAATTGCTTAAGAATGCTTTGGTCAACAGTCTTCATATTTAGTATTGAGGTTGTTTATGACTAGTAGATGACCCCTATTGATTTTTAGGTGACTGTGTCAAAGGTCAAGGTCACAGGGATTTTTACTTTACGACTAAATGCTTAAGAATGCCTGTCCGCAGTGTATTGATTTTGACATTTTCACATTTGAAGCATGCAGAATACATAACTTAGCAATGCACTGGCTTAGTAACATCAGATTTGGCAGGGAGGTTGTCCTTGAGCTCTAAATAGCCACTGTTGATTCTGACAAAGTGGTATGCACGCCATGACAGTGGCAGTTCTAGTTTTGACTAGTTATTGAAATCTATGAATATATTTTTTCTGTTGCAACACAAATAGGTGACAGTTTTTCTCTCTTTGTTGTTTTCAGAAAACTTGAGCTTTAATAATTTTTTGTAACATTTTCAGTCATTTATTTTTCTGGCTATTTTTCATCAATCATCATGTATAGCAAATGCTCAATGTGATTCCATAACCTATAGACAGGAGGAGGTAACTCTTATCAAGCTTTTTGACAGAATTATGCCCCTTCTTTACTTAAAATTTACGTTAAAGTTTTTTGTAACACCTCAGATATTTTCAAAGTCCATTGACATATGGCTTTGAAACTTTACACACTTGTTCACCATCATGACCAAACCTGTAGACAGGAGAAGGTAACTATGAAGCATTTGGCAGAATAATGTCCCTTTTTCAACTTAGAATTTACATTTAAGTTTGCATACCGCCTCAGATATTTTCATATTCTATTGACATCTGGCTTTGAAACAACTTGAAATATTATACTCTTCTTTGAAAGCATAATATGACTCTCTCCAAAGCCTGTAACTGTAACATGGATTTAAAGAAAAATTTTGCCCTTTTGCTAACTCAGAAATTATCAAGGCTCTTTTACCTCAAGTAGTAAGAAAAGTCAAACGTTGCTGTCCTACCAACAGCTCTTGTTTCACTATATTATACTTAAAATACTTGAGTTTGCTATTTTAGCGTTAGTTCTTGTTGCGGGATGCTACACAGCTTCTAAAAAAAGAAAGCAGGTTGAAAACTATGCTAGTAAATATCAAAGTTCCGTTTTGTAAACTGTGATGTACTTATGTAATCTTTTTATTTCAGGGCTATTTGAAGATGCAGAATCTACAGGAATATTCTGCTATGTTGTAGAGTGATTGCTGTAATAATATTTCAACTGTGCTGACAGGAATAAAATAAAAAAGAAATAACACTTGTTACAAATATATGATTCATTATATTATCTGTATATATTAGAACTAACATTGAAAGCAAGTGTATTTAACTACTATACAGGATTACTGATGTTTAGGGTTAATGTGGGTAGTCAAGATGGCAGTTTTTGAAGCAAGTGTTCATTAGAAAAGCTGCACAGTGTGAAACAGATGAAAATTTTAGGTAGATGAGCATGGAAATGCACATTTATTGCAGACTGATACAAAATGTTTGTTAACTTGTTTGAATGGTGTCATTTTCTTGTTATATACTTGTTACAATGACTTAAGTTAATTTTCAATGGGTATATTGAATAACTTACTGAATTCACTTGTATGAAAAAAATTGTATGCAATAACTTTAAACAGAAACATTGTAATTAAATATTCTACAAGTAAACTTCTCTTTACTTCATCAAGATGATGTTTAATGATCTGATAAATTAAATTTATATATTTGCAAGAGCAGCTTGTATTCTGATCTTATATTGTTACTTTGTTACATAATGTTATACATGTATATTTAAACATAATAATTGTTAACTTTACATCTATTAAAACATGTATACACTGCTTAAATTGTTTTTGTTAATTAACATTAATCCTCTTGTAGGAAAAACTTGTGAACAATGAGTGCATGTAAATGTAGATGTCAAGTCTGTGCTTTTTATCTTATTTTTCCAAATACACTATTTCAAGATACAAGCTACCCTTTAAAGTACAGCAAAGTTATAAAAATAATTCTACAAGTATTCTTATTGGTTTGTTTTAAAATTTTCATGGTGGACCACAAGATAATGATATTTAACAAATAGTTGAGCAATACAGTTTCTAAGATTTTCAAACTTGATTCCTATAACAAGCCAATGATTTATTAGACTGTTTAGTGGGCACATTACTAATTCTCACCATAATAAATTTCTGTCTTTTAACAAGTTTTGTAGATGCTCACATTACAAAAATGCAAGAGAATCTTAAACATCAAATGCTGTGAGTATATTTACCACATTTATTTTTACAAAGGGGAATCACTCATGAATTATAAAGAATTATAAATCAAAGGTGGGCAACTCTTGGATATATGAAGACTAGCATCATGTAAATAACTAAGAACAACTATTGTTTCTTGTGGAATAAAGCATAAACCATGTCCAGCATTGCATTACACAATTAAACAGTTCTCAGTGGGAAGTTTTCTTTATTCACATATTTCTGGCTATGCTTTGACATCACGTGACATGTTGTTCGCACTTAGAATTTCAATCCAATATCCATCAGGATCTTGAATAAATGCCAACCCTTTCATCTTCCCTGAAAGAGAAGAGAAAAAGATTTGATATGTCGGTAAAAAGATAATTTCCTAATTACTTGTCATTCTTTACTTATTAAAAACACAAATTTTCCTGATTTGGTGTTAAATGATATTTTTGGCTGGGTTGCACTGGTGCAAACCCGGGTTATAGTATGGCGAATGTCAGGCGCCGGGCGGATGGGGAAAAACTTTTTGTAACAGTTATCTCAGCAACTACTTTTCACAGCCTCTTGATATTTGGAATACAGCATTGACACATGTTTCCATACCGTGGGATTTGATTTCAGGTCTGTTGCTCATCCACTTCCTGTTTACCAACTTAGTTAAATTATTGACATTAATGGTAAGCGGTAATTTTTTTTCGTAGCATCACAGCATCATGATATTCTGTCTTTGACCCATTATTAAAAGCTGATTATAGGGATACAGTCTCCTTTATCATGATTTTGACTGTCATATACATAGAAAATCTAAGTAAATTCTTGCCCAACATCGCTGTAGGTTCGAATCCTGCCAGGGACTTGGATTCTTTCAAGTGAGGAAAGTATCCAGCTAGCTTGCGGAACGTTGGTGGTTCTACTCAGGTGCCTGTTTGTGCCTGAAATAATTGCTCGGAAGGGCACCTACTGTCTTCCTAAGACAGTAAAGATTCTTTCATAAAACAAGTGAAAATATTAAGCTTGTTTAAAAATGTTTTTTTATAAACTACCATGATTTAACATTACCAAAAAATGAACTGTCTTTCACAGTAACAAGGGCAACATTGTCGCAAAATCACCCGTCAAAAAAGCTTTTGACAGATTTGGACATAGATATGCATATTGGAGATACGCTCTGGGCAATATCCGGAAAATATCTTGATATTTGACCATCTATAGTGACATTGACCTTGCAAATATTAACCTAAATTACGTGTCATACTTGTAGTCATGTTAGTTATCATTTGTGTTACAATCCATCTAAAAATGATGACTAAATGGTCCCCGGACACAAACTGACCTTGACTTTGGTAGCAGGGACCTGGATTATGTGCACAATAAGCCTCACAATGGTGAACATTTCTGCCAAATTTCATTAAAATCTCCCAATGAATGTAGAAGTTCGGCTCCGAACCAGCATTTTTCAATGACCTTAACCTTTAACCTAGAGAACTGGTTCATGCACGTGGCAACGCTTCTCATAGTTGTGAACATTTCTATTAAGTTTCGTTAGAATCCCACCATGCATGTAGGGAATATGGTCTGGACAAAATTTTATCATCTTGAGTGACCTTGCATATATTAACCTAGATAACATGTTTCACACCAGTAGTCATGATAATTGCCATTTGTGTTTCAATCCCTCAATATATGATTACTAAATAGTCCGATTACATATTTTCATATATGTGTGACCTTGACCACGGCCTCAGGGACCTAAATTTTGCACTCAACACTCTGCATCACAATGGTAAACATTTGTGCCAAGTTATATTAAAATCCCTCTATGCATGTAGAAGTTTTGCTCTGGACAAGCATTTTTCAATGACCTCTTAGTGTGACCTTTGACTTGGTTCATATGCGTGGCACAGCTTCTCATTGGGGTGGTGAATATTTCAATGAAGTTACATTAAAATTACTACATGGGTGTAGGTGATATGCTCCGAACAAAATTAGACGCCGCCAGACTGCCCGCCCACTCAGGAAAGGGGACTATAATACAACCTGTTTTTCAAATGGGTGTATAAAAATAGAAAGGTGCTTGGCATTACAAATTTTACATAAAATTGTTTAACGGGACTCTACTGATTTTTTTTGACATAACATGATTGTGTAGAGAATTCATTTAGAATTTAGAAATAATAAATATAGTCGAGACTGTCATATGCGACTTTCCAAGGGATCTTCAGAAAAAGGTCACATATGACAGGGAGTCTCTAAATACAGTCTCAAAGAAAATTAAATTTAAATACCATCTATCTGATTATATATCATTGTGACTTAACATACATAACTGTGTGAAGGAATAATATCTAACCAATTGCAAATAAACATAGGTAATCGTAAATTTTTTATGTAAATAAAATAAGAATCCATGTAAAACAACTATATATTAGCATGTATATCACATAAAATTTAATTTTATTTTTTGTATTAAGATTTAAATTGAATCTTTTTTGTATAAATTAACTGGAATTTGATGCATCCATGTACTTGTAAAAGTTAAACATGTCCATATCCAAATTTTCTGGTTTGACATCCATATTTTTTCCGTATTAATTATGCAGCCATAGAAAGGTAAATTAAAAAAATACTGCCTAAAATATCTTCCGTTGGCACTCTATAATTAAAAAAAAAATCTGACACAAGCTTAATCCAGTTTACTCAGTCATTATATGTACATTACACACCATGCTTCCCATTTACAGACGCTTAGTGACGTTACTCGATACCTATATACATGTTAACTGTGTAACAGAGACAGAGGTGTGTAGACTTTGTTTGCTACTGGATTATAATTGGACTTAATTATTTTGGCCCTCTGGGTGTTAAAATAGGTATTATTTATCTGATTAACGGACAATTAAAAGGTGTGAAAGTCGTTTAAATCAGACAAAACATTGCATTGGGACCAGACAATTAGGGTCGCTTGTCACATATGACAGGGAGTCATTTAATTCAGACCATTTTTATAGGAAAATACGTTGGGAGTACTCAAACAAGGTCGGATAAGACAGGGAGTCGTTTAAATCAGGGGGTCGCTAAGGCAGTCTCGACTGTATGTGATCTAATGCAAAACCACAGTAGATTGGCTGAATGGGATGGGTGTTTTGAAAGAAAAAAACAACAGCATAAAACAAACCTCCATCAGGTGTTTTAATAAACTTGACACCCATTTTCTCAAATCTCTCGCATGCCTTGTAAACATCAGGGACACTTAATCCAATATGACCTGAAGGGAAGAAATAATAGAAAAATCTGAATACATGTATACCCTATATGACTCACATTAAATGTTCATATGATATATTTTATATCATTATTAATAACGTACAGTTTTAAAAACAGAAGCACACAATTCATACAAGAATGAGACAAATTTATCAGCTTAATATTAACATGTAAGAAATGTGAATTTAAAAATGTTTAACCAGTGTGGTTAGTATATCTATGAAAAACTTTAGATTTAACCATTAACTTTTCAACAAGTCCCAGCAGGGTAGTGGCAGGGCTTCCATTAAGTTCCAAAATTTGGTAGTCAGAGACTGCAAAATCTATGATATTGGAAGTCACATTATATAGGTAAAGAAGGAAAAGTTTTAGATTTTGAAATTCACAAGCCAAAATCACCCAAACTTCCATTAATGGTAGCCCTGGCCATTATTTAAGAACTTTTTTATTTGCTTATTTATTTGTGTAAAAAATTGACATGTTTTGAACTGTTTAAGATGTCTTTCTATCATACCAAATCCTCTAGGATCTGAGTTGCCATTATGATAAGGCTCCCCTTCTTCTTTCTCAGTTCCCCAGTTACTAAAATACAATAATATACTGCTTGGTTAACAAAGAAAAGTGTTTAACTCTCATAACTATTGTTAGTGTTTGAAATTACTTTTTTGTCCAATTGGATTGCAGTATTTCAAATTAATCGTAACACATTTACTTCGGTAAATAGGCAAACTATTAATCAGTCTAGTAGATTGACTGTTTAAAGAAAATAATTTCAAACACTTAGCTGGTTAAAATTTATTAGTATGTATTTGCAAAACTAAATTGGTCCCGCAGCTGCACCACACCTGGCCTATTTAATTTTGTAAGTAAGTACTTATTAACTTTAACCTATACTAAAACATGTTCTAAAAATTTAAAAATATAATTGTGTTGTAGTAGATATAGGCAATAAAATACTAAAGTTCATTTTCTTTCCTAAGGCTTATTTTTCACTGTCTCCCTCAGTAATGTGATTTTTTTTTCAGTACCTTTCAGTAATTATTGTATGCAACATTTTGAGACCTGTTTCAAGTACAAACTATTTCTTTACAAGGAGTAAAATTTTTTTAAAAAGTCATATTTTGATGAATATCGCTAGTGAAAGGCTTCTGTAAATTTTGAAGATATAAAATACGTGTTGTGTTACGATAATTCTTAGAGGGAAAAGCTAAATTAGACTTAATATTTAGCCATAATAGTGTTCAATTTTATGTTTTAGGATTCAAAAATAAACAATAATCCATGTGACTAATAAGGACATTTCAACCAAAATCGTGTTCCAAATGTATCAATAATGTTCAAATTAAGAAAAACTAGAACTATCACTAAAGGTGATTAATACCCCCACAAGACTGCTTCGAAAATGAGGATGTTACTAGTAACAGAATATCTTGTAAAAAATTGAAATATAGAGTTATGGTTGTGGGCAATTAAAGATAGTTGTGGTTCTTGTATATTGCATTTCCTTTCAATGTGGTTGGCCATTGATGAAGTTTTATTGAATTACTCTGTAATAAGTCCAGAAAGACAAAAAAAGGAACAAAGGGCAATAACTCTATAAATACTGAAGATGGAGTTATAGTTCTTGTGCACTGCACTTCCTCTTTTTGTGCTTGACCATTGTATGAAGTTGTTTTGAATTTCAACAAGTACGTTTTAAGTTATGCTCCAGACAAGGAAAAGTATCAAAGGGCAGTAACTCTGTATTTTGTCAAAATGGAGTTATGGCTCTTATGCACTGCACTTCCTTTTAATGTCCTTGACAACTGTATGAAGTTGTATTGAATTCCAAACAGTAGTTTTCAAGTTATGCTCTGGACAAGGAAAAGTAACAAAGGGCAATAACTCTGTAATTTGTCAAGATGGAGTTAAGGTTCTTGTGCACTGCACTTCCTCTCAATGTGCTTGACCATTGTATGAAGTTATATTGAATTCCAACCATTAGTCTTCAAGTTATGCTCCGGACAAAAAAAGCAATGGAAAAGTAACAAAGGGCAATAACTCTGTAATTACTTTAGATAAAGTTATGGTTCTTATGCACTGCACTTCCCCTTACTGTGTTTGACAATTGTTTGAAGTTGTTTTGAATTCCAACCAGTAGTTTTCAAGTTATGCCCCGGACAAGGAAAAGTAACAAAGGGCAATAACTCTGTAATTAGTCAAGATAGAGTTATGGTTCTTGTGCACTGCACTTCCTCACAATGTGCTTGACCATTGTATGTAGTTATTAGCTCGACTATACGAAGTATATGGAGAGCTGTCCTACTCGCCCCAGCGTCGGCGTCCGCGTCCAGATTTTAGATTAAAGTTTTGGTGCAGTAAAATATTTTTCACTATAACTTTGTCATTTCTTAAGGTATCAACTTCAAACTTCAAATATATGTTCCTTATCATCAACCACATCTTATGTGACAAGGTTCATAACTCTTGCACCAATATTTTCAGATTAATCTCCCCTTGAACTTAGAATTTTCCTTAAAAATTACTATTTTTTTTACTGATACTTCTTTATTTCTTAAGGGATCAACCTCATACTTCAAATATATGTACCTTATCATCATCCCCATCTTATGTGACAAGGTTCATAACTCTAGCACCAATATTTTCAGATTTATCTCCCCTTGAACTTAAAATTTTCCTCAAAAAATACTATTTCTTACTGTTTCTTCTTTGTTTCTTAAGGGATCGACCTCATACTTCAAATATATTTACGTTATCATCATCCCCATCTTATGTGACAAGGTTCATAACTCTAGCACCAATATTTTCAGATTTATCGCCCTTTGAACTTAGAATTTTCCATAAAAAATATTATTTTTTACTGTAACTTATTTATTTCTAAAGGGATCAACTTCATACTTCAAATATATTTACGTAATCATCATCCACATCTTATGTGACAAGGTTCATAACTCTAGCACCAATATTGCAAGAATTATCTCCCCATAAACTTAGATTTATTTACTAGAAAAACATTATTTTTTAATTTTAACTTTTTTATTTTTAAAGGTATCTACCTCAAACTTCAAATACTTATACCTTATCATTAATTACATTTTATGTGACAATGTTCATAGCTCTTGAAGCAATATTTACAGATTTATCTCTCTTTGAACTTAGGATTTTCTTTAAGAAATATAATAACTTCTTTACTTTTTAAGGTATCTACTTCAAACTTCAAATATATATTTCTTATCATTACACAAATGTTGTGTGGCAAGATCCATAACTCTAGCATGACTATTTCTATAATTATTCCCCTTGATCTTGGAATTTATGTTAACAAATGTTATTTTTTACTATAACTTAATACGTAATTATACATAATTGATTTTTCTTTCATAGTTTTGTCCTCCTTACTGCGTCCAGTATTTTATTAGTCGAGCTTCGCTGTCTCCTGTGACAGCTCTTGTATTGAATTCCAACCATTAGTCTTCAAGTTATGGTCCGGACAAAAGAAAGCAATGGAAAAGTAACAAAGGGCAATAACTCTGTAATTACTTTAGATAGAGTTATGGTTCTTGTGCACTGCACTTCCGCTTATTGTGTTTGACAATTGTATGAAGTTGTTTTGAATTCCAACCAGTAGTTTTCAAGTTATGCCCCCGACAAGGAAAATTAACAAAGTCAGTAACTCTGTAGTTAGTCAAGATAGAGTTATGGTTCTTGTGCACTGCACTTCCTCTCAATGTGCTTGACCATTGTATGTAGTTATATTGAATTCCAACCATTAGTCTTTGTTATGTTGAATTCCAACCATTAGTCTTCAAGTTATGGTCCGGACAAAAGAAAGCAATGGAAAAGTAACAAAGGGCAATAACTCTGTAATTACTTTAGATAGAGTTATGGTTCTTGTGCATTGCACTTTCCCTTATTGTGTTTGACAATTTTATGAAGTTGTTTTGAATTCCAACCAGTAGTTTTCAAGTTATGCCCTGGACAAGGAAAAGTAACAAAGGGCAATAACTCTGTAATTAGTCAAGATAGAGTTATGGTTCTTGTGCACTGCACTTCTTCTCAATGTGCTTGACCATTGTATGTAGTTATATTGAATTACAACCATTAGTCTTCAAGTTATGGTCCGGACAAAGAAAATGCAACGGACGTCTGGACCGACCGACCGACGGCCCGACCGACCGACCAACCGACCACCGGGTGACTTCGTTTTTGGGGGTATAAAAATTAGTGGCGCAATCTTTTTACAAGTTGTTTAATTAACCTAGGTTGACTGTTCTACTTGATCCATTATCTTATGTTAATTAGGTACAGGTAGTTTTCATATTTTATGCTTAACCTTTTTTCAATATCAATTATTGGTCAGTCACCATAATAATAATAATGAATTTCTTGAAATATATTACTAATTCAATTTAACTTGACAGCGAAAAAATTAGCATAATGTCACTTAAGCACACTATGACACATGTACATTTTATTAATTCATATTTAAATGCTTCAGGGCACATTATGCCTTAGAAATATCACATACTTAAGTAAAGATTTCTATATTTGTCCCCCTGCCTTTTCGAAGAAAAAAGGAGGATATAGAAATAGGCTCCGTCCGTCTGTTCGAGCAAACATTTTGGGTTTAGGGGTTACTTAACAGTGAAGAGAACAAAAGAGAACAACAGGTTCATTCCCTGATGAAAGGGTTTAGGGGCTAGTAACCCTTAAGAAAACAAAGAAAATAGCACCTAAAGCCAAAATGTTGGAACGTCCATCCGTCCGTCCGTCACACTTTCGTGTGCGGTCCATAACTTTGTCATTTATGAAATGAATTTGAAATAACTTGGCAAAAGTGTTTATTTTAATAAGACGATGTGTCATGCCCAACAACCAGACCCCTACCTCCAGGGTCAAGGTGGCACTTGCTCATTCAAGGTCAACATTGTCTATTTGAGGGTATATGTTGTGTCCGGTCCATAACTTTCTTATCTATAAAGGGATTTTGTAAATACTTGCCATAATTGTTCACAATAATCAGACGATATGTCATGCGTAAAAAACGGTCACATACCTCCGAGGTCGAGGTCACACTTGGAGGTCAAATACTTACATAGTCTGTTACAGGGTATATTTTGTGTTCGGTCCATAACTTTTTCATAGATCAAAGGATTTTGAAAATACTTTGCACAAATTGTCACTGTAATAAGATGATGTGTCATGCGCAACACCTGCATCCCTACCTTCAAGGTCAAGGTCACACTTAGAGGTAAAAAAATTAACATAGTCCGTTATAGGGTATATTTTGTGTCCAATATATAACTTCTTCATAGTTCAAGGGATTTTGAAATAACTTGGCACAAATAGTCACAATACTAAGACAATATATCAAATACAACACCTGCACCCCTACCTCGAAGGTCAAGGTCACACTGAGAGGACATAGGTTAACAGAGTCTGTTATTTGGTATATTTTGTGTCCCGTCCATTACTTCTTGAGATTAAGGGATTTTGAAAATACTTGGCACAAATAGTCACAATGATTAGATGATATGTCATGCGTAATATCTGTGTCCCTACCTCCAAGGTCAAGGTCACACTTAGAGGTCAAAGATTTACAGTCTGTTATAGGGTATATTTTATGTCCAATCTATAACTTCTTCATAATTCAAGGGATTTTGAAAATACTTGGCACAAATAGTCTCAATAATAAGATGTTATGTCATGCACAACACCTGCTCCCCTACCTCCAAGGTCAAGGTCACACTTAGAGGTCAAAGCTTAACATGATAGATTTTTAAATTCCGTGTTTCATTTTATTTTTTTTAACAGATTTATTGTTACATTTGCAGATCTAGCATTGATCATAATTTTGGACTGAATGTCCCGAGATCCATACCTCAATCTTTTGAAATAGCACAATTTTATGCTTCATATAAAACTTCCCGAGGCAGGGGACGTTGGTAACTCTTGTACAAATTCTTGTTTGCTTTTAAACAACCTGATTTTTTTTTTGAAAGATTATATTTCAATTATCAACAATTTTTTTTTCATGCCTATATGCAAAGGTGAAGAGCTCTAAATACATTTTAAAAACTAAGCACATACTGGGTAAGTTCAATTGTAGCAGGTCTGGTAAATGTCCATTTCACTCTTTCCTGGCCATCAGATGGGATGTCTTCTGCCTTTTCATAACCCATGAAATACAGTGAGAATTTCATGGCAGGGAAGTCAAAACGCTGGAGCAACCTAATTGGCAGATATGCAAAAAAGGCAATAACAAAAAACTTAGAATATTTGTAAATGGCAAGAAAATAACACTCAAATATTTGCTTAAAACAGGTTAAATCTGAAGAAGAAAAAAAAAGACAAAAGAACACATTATTAAAGTAATATGAATAATGATGTCCAATTTTTGAAGCATTTAGTCTCTACCAAATACTTCAAGCATTCCTGGACTGAATGTTTAAACAGGGTTTGAAAGCAAATTTTCCATGTGATTTTAATTACAAAAATGTATCATACATTTATTGGTTTACGAAAATATTCTTGTAGCAAGGTTTTCCCACTCTAAACCCCACCTCTTCAAACTTTGGAAACTTCTGTCTTTTCCATTTATCTACTTTAATAGAGGCTTGACCAAACCTCAGTTGATATATCATTAACATGTTTTTTCTTTGCTTGTTCTCTCTATCAACTTGAATATCATGGTATCAATTAAAATCAGTCAATCATCAACATTTTCTTCATTGGCACAACCATTCAAATCATTCAGAATCCATAGTATTTTATATTAAACACAAATATGTATAATATGAACTTTAAAACCTTAAAATTTTTTAATGTCATTACCGACACTTTCAAATACTAAATGTATTTACAGTGATTTTTTTATTTAGGAAAAACTGTGTTGTAATAATAGTCCCCCCTTTTGGAAAATGTTTAGCCCCGGGGGCGTTTATTACGAATTTTACGGTAAATACTCTACCCTACACTCAATGCACCATCCCCCATACAGTTGGCTAGCTATAAGCTGAATTCACATGAATGATTCAAGCATACCTCATGCCCAGAACATTTGTGTAGAACTCCAAAGATCTTTTAGGGTCTTTAATTCTGTACATTGTCTGTTGCATAATGAATTCCTGAAAGTATGTAAATTTAACTGAACAAAACAAGTCAAAGACATTTATTCTATAAATGAAAACAATTCTTTTAAAATACAATACATTATTCAAATTAATTTTTTATTTGCTTGTAGTATCAGCTATTTAGATTGTCCAAACAGAATAGTATACACAGCAAAATGTTTGAGAAAGGATAGTTATTAAAAACTAATATACAACTATGAGCATAATAAATTAACTTGTATTATAGTTTGGAGACTTTACTATTAAAAACATGTCAGAGTTAAATCGTGTATCAATACATGCACAGTGCGTTATCTAACTGTCTGTCTGGAGCATGATTGTTGATTGGCTCATTTTTTCTGCAGCTCATTTATTGCAGTGACAGGGAAAGAGATTAAGATAGGAAAGTCATATTCAGATGCTTGTACAAATGGTTACTTTTTTCTGGGGATTAATATGATCACAGAGAACATGTTTTAATTTTTTACTATGATACAAAAGAGAAAGAACATTAAAACACTCAGCAATCTGATTTGTATGAGGGATTATGACGTAATGACCAAAAGACAGTCTTTACATGTTAATATTTTCTAGAGATATCTAATTTTCAAGAACCCTTTAGAATGAAAATATTTTGCAAAGAAAATTAACAACTTATTGCAACAATTGTGAATTTTATGCATCTCAGCATTTTGGCATTGGTAATGTCTCCAATAAACGGTAGTAACTAAATAATATAAAAAGGTCCTGAGTGCAGAGGCAATTATAGTGAGGATTTTTTTAAAACAAACAAGCCATAATGGGTGATTTTTTTCCAGACCAAGGAGTATTTTTTTCACAAGCCTGTAACGTCTGATATATTGGACTAGTGGGGAAGAAGCCATTAGCTGGCTACATTTCTATAGCAAAAAGAAAATACGAAAATATAATAATTTCTAGAATTGCAATTGACTTGGGCATTAGACCCTGAACAAACTGTAGTCCTAGTAAAATATTTCTGGTCAAAATCTAGGACTTAAACTAGATCAACTGTTTGAAAGAACACTATCTTCTGTCTTGGAAATAAGTTGTATTAAAAATAAGTAATGGCTCTCTCTTTAAAATGAAATCAAATTTTTTCCTTTGATACAAATAATAAATCATTGTAATTACCTAAAGAATAATTCTGATCCCTTGTACAAATAAATAAACAAAAATATTCCACCAGTGAGTTAAGAACTTACAAGAAATGATCATTGTCACCTTGTGTCACTCAAAGTAATTTCTGTAAATAATTGTCTGATAATAGTATGAAATGAATGATATAATCAACTCTATGACCATGCATTCTATAATAGCATAATCATTCATATAATAATGTCATATATCCGAATAAATCATATCCGAAATAAATAACAATTAGGAAATATTTTTCGGGTTTTCTGAAACTAGACGTTACAACATATAATACAGATAAAATAGAGTTAAAGTGATTGGCTTACCTTCGTTGATTCATCTGGCTCATGACAAGCCTTAGCAAGCTCTTCGTCGGTCAAAAAACGTTCTGACATTTTTGCAGATGCTGATAACACAATTTTCACGAGTAGAGTTACTTACTTATCACCGGCTGTCAGCTGACCAAACAAACGTCAAACGCTTAGGCCTATATGGTCATTTTGTAAGTTTCCTCGTCATAATTTATTAGTTTTGCCAGTGTAATGACAAAAGTTTAGTGGGACATTCATTTCTACTGACTAGAACCATCAGACATTCGAAGCTGTTCAGGAAACTTTAAGTGTAATGTGTTTCCGCGTTTTTTTTTAATCCGTTTGACATAATTTGATAATCAGATAAGTTTTTATTTAATAATAAATGTGTTTCTTCATAATACAATTTATTTTACTTCGGTTATTTTAGCAATTGTATATAATATTTATTGAGTGACATTCAGTTTGAGGAGTGTATTTGTTGGAAAGATTTTCAGTTTCTTTTTCAATGTTACACACTAGCTATTTATAATTCCAAAGTTAAATGCTGTTCTTTTAAAATGGTTTACAATTATTTTCCTGGCTACATAACTAAATCATGTCATTTGATTTATATCTTTTATAAAGAAACAGATATGGCTATTGTTTGAAACAGACTTGACTTGTTTGATTAAGTTCTTAATATCGTATCTACTTTCACTTTTGTTTTCCTAACTACAAAACATGTTGTTTCCATTCATTGGCCAACGATTCTATTATCCTTTATCTAGTATATTATCTATTATACTTTATTCTTATTTATTTTTGAATATTACCATCTCTTAGTGTGCATGTTTTATGTTCATCATTATGGAGATGTTATAATGATACGTATGTCATATATGTTTTATAAATTTTGTTAAAGGGGTTTGCAGAACATCATTTATATGCCTCGCTATAAGGTCAAGGTCAGTAGCTAGATTAAGGTCAAAGTTTGGGCCATTTTGTATCTCTTGAGCAGCCTGAAAGATATTTAAATAAAAAAAATTGTGTCTAAAAATAAGCATATACCCTTTTCTTAGTAGACCAGGCTGAACTTGACCTTCACTCATATGTTTACCCTTACATAGAAGTATTCTGAATTTGACTAATTTATGCAGATAAAAACTTATAATTAACTTGCTGTTTCATATCTACCTAATGCTACTTTAAATGTACATTGCATGCAGAACCTTTAAACATTGGTTATTAAATATATTGTATACTATCCAATTCATTAAACAGTCTAAGAAATAAATTGCTTTCATAAAAAAGCTTGTATTCTCTGCATACATATGATATATGGCTATATAAGTAATGTATATAAAAGTTTGTACATATTTTTTGGCTAATTTATTTAAAGGTATATCAAAATATATGTGCATAAAAACTTCACTAAAGTATTTATAATGAAAAAAATTCTAACAAAACATTCACAGACAATTTGGATTGGATTGAGAGACAAATACATATGTCATTAATTTTTACCAGACACATTCCTTAGATTTTTTATTATTATATCATAATTTTATAACTTAATATTGCATAGACTTAAAGGTTGTATGAAATTGGATATAATTATTGTTTAATTCCAGATGACTAGCTTAAAAATCAAAGTATATCTAGATGGGTTACTCTAGATTCTAGAACACAGCTTTTGAAACAAACCACTTAATTCCTGAATCTTTTCTTTTAAGATTTGATAGATCAAAAGTCAAAATTTTTCTAAGAGACTTACAATGTCAGGGGTGTAGCCAGCTTTAGTAAACTAATGTAGGTCCATAAAAGGGGATCTAGGGGGTTAGCCCCAAGAAGCCAAAAACAAGTACCAATTACAAAGAGCCAAATGCGTGTTCCAAAGTATTTTCAAGGAAAATTATCAAAAAAATAATTTTAAACTATGAATTTGATTACATGCAAACTTTACTGAGGACAATAAATCATGCATAAGCCTGAAACACACTTGATTCGACCATACAACAGGAACTTGAACCCTCTACCAATAACCCAACCACACCTGCTTTAATTGTATTTTTAGGACTTTTGAATTTCTTGACCAACTGGTAGGCCCGGGCCTATATGGCCTAGTAGTAGCTAATCCACTTAATATACTTAGTTTTTCTTGCAATAACAGGATGAGAATGAACTTGTTACAACATAAATTACCGTAAACTTATCTAATCCCTATCCTGTATGAGCTAGCAGGTCGTTAAGGTTAAGATACATGCAGTTGTAACATAAAGACTACAAGTAAGTTCTTTGAGAAATAAGTGTAGTAGGTTTTTGTTAAAATACCAGCTAAGCTTGTTATGGAAACTAGTGGGAGTATGTAGATGCACCTTGATTAGGTCTACATATCACACACATTTTCAGGTTAAAAGGTCAAGATCACTTGGACATGTAATAACAAATAAAACAAACAAACAAAAAAACAACAACAAAAAACTGGCCAATAAATATGCATTGACCTAGGAACTTCAAACTTTGCATTTGAATTTTACCAGTCACGCTCATTTACAATTCAAAAGGAAGGTCAATGTCAAAGAGAACTGTAATAACAAAAAAAAAAACAAAAAAACACTGGCCATTAAATTAAAGTGCATTGACCTAGGAAGTATTAATTTTTTTTTCTAGATGTACCTTTTATAGTGCTCTACGTGCAACAATCATTTTCAAGTCAAAAGGATAAAGGTTAAGGTCACTGGCAACTATAATTAAAAACATTAAACTGCCTTTTTAATTAAAGAGCAGTGATTGAGAAACTTGTTTGGAGATGCACTTTGGTCCGTTGTACCTACCATTCCCTTTTAAAATGACCTTTTTTAACTTTTTGAATTAAGTTTCTATTTATGGTCAATAAATTAAGACTTTGAAATTTGATATGTTGAAGCATCTTAATGAGTTATGCCTGCCACACAAAATTTGGGATCAAAGGTCAAGGTATATGTTAAATTTACATCAAATTATCTCTTCATTAAAATGTGCAGTTTACTATCCTGCACTAAGAAAAGTTGAGCGAGCTGCTCCTTGGACAGCTCTTGTTTTTCAAGTATTTGTTTTTGATACTAATGAATTCATTTTTTTCTTCCTTGTACATTTTGTTACAAACTTTAATTCATCTTTATAGATATACATTTGAGGAATGTTCAGTGGAGTTGACTACTTGTTCTATTGTATTTTCTTTATAAATCTTTAATATTATTTTTTTCTTTCCAAAGTGGAAAATGTTTATATTAAATGTTATTGAGTAACGTTTAAATATTTAAGGGTAAGTAGTAAATCTTCTTAAAGTATAACTTAAATAAGATACCAATTTATTAGCATGAAACTACTTTGAATACTGTGCTTAATCATTAAAAGAAACATGCATAAGTTTTACTCATTAAATATAACAGCATCTAAACAATTATTAATTTCCAGAATCAAGATAAGGGAAAATTTATGTCTGTTAACATGGTATATTTGTTAAAAAAGCAACACACTTTTTAAAAAAAACTGTTTGCCTCGGTGTCATATTTCTCCACCATACATAAATATAAGTATATAGAATTATGACAATACTTGGTTGATCAACTAGTTGAAAAAACGTGAACATCTTCTATCATATATCTTTATAAGTGTTATTTTTGCTAAAATATGTATGTTTTCAAAATTGAAAGTTTTGAAACAGTATATTTGAATGTAAGACTGTGATTGTTAACATTTTGAATTAAGTTTCTGTTTTATGGTCAATAACTTAGACTTTTTTTTTAAATTTGATATGTAGAAGCATCTTAATGAGTTTTGCCTGCCACACAAAATTTGCGGATCCAAAAGGTTTCAAGGTATATGCTAAATTTACTTCAAATTATCTTTCTTCATTAAAATGTGCAGCTTTACTATCCTGCACTAAGAAAAAGTTTGAGGCCAACTGCCTCCTTGGGGACAGCTCTTGTTTTTCAAGTATTTGTTTTTTGATACTAATGATTTAATTTTTTTTTCCTTGTACATTTTTTACCAAATTTTTAAATTCATCTTTATAGTTTATTACATTTTTGAGGAATGTTCAGTGGAGTTGGACTACTTGTTCTTATTTTTTTCTTTATAAATCTTTAATATTATTTTTTTTTTTCCAAAGTTGGAAAATGTTTATATTAAATGTTATTGATAACGTTCCTATTTTTAAGGGTAAAAAGTAAGTAAATCTTCTTAAAGTATAACTTAAATAAATAACATTTATAGCATGGAAAACTACATGTACTTTGAAATACTGTGCTTAAAACATTAAAAAAAACATGCAAAAGTTTACTCATTAAAAAAATAACAGCATCAAACCCAATTATTAATTTTCCAGAATCCAAAATAAGGGGAAATTTATGTTTCTGTTACATGGTATATTTGTTAAAAACAACAACTTTTTTAAAAAAAACTGTTTTGCCTCGTGCATATTTCTCCAACCATTTACATAAAAGAAAGTATTATAGAATTTTTATGAAATACCTGTTGAGGTCAACTAGTTTGAAAACTGAACATCTTCATCAATGAATCTTTATTAAGTGCATATTTTTGCAAAAAAATATGTATGGTTTTCAAAATTTGAAAGGGGTTTTGAACAGGTATATTTAAATGTAAGACTGTGATTGTTAACATTTTGAAATTAAAAGTTTCTGTTTATTGGTCAATAAAATTAAGACCCTTTGAAATTTGATATGTTGAAAGCGGGCATCTTAATGAAGGTTATGCCTGCCAAACACAAAATTTTTGGGATCAAAAGGTCAAGGTATTATGTTAAATTTACATCAAATTTTATCTCTTCATTAAAAAATGTGCCAGTTTACTATCCTGCACTAAGAAAAGTTGAGCTAGCTGCTCCTTGGACAGCTCTTGTTTTTCAAGTTTTGTTTTAGATACCAATTTTATGTTTTCATTTTTCCTTCCTTGTCAAAAAGTTGTGCATTTTGTTAAAAAACTTTAAGTTCATCTTCATATTTTTCTATTTAAAGTTAACATATCAAATTCTGAGGAATATTTCAGTGGGGCATGTAAATTTTTAACTTAATTATTTTCTTTAAAATCTTCAATAATGATTTTTCTTTTCTTTTCCAAAGTGGAAAAATGTTTATGTTAAAGTGTTATTGAGTAACGTTTAAATATTAAAGGGGTTAAGTTGGAAA